CGGAGGTGGCGTCGCCCGCGGGCGTGGACGCGGCCGCCGGCGAGGGCGAGCCCGGCGCAGAGCCGCTCGTGGTCCGGGAAGTGCTCCTTGTGGGACGCCTGGTCTTGCGTGCCGTCGACTCGGAGCGCTCCAGCGCGTACTTGTTGGCGAAGACCGGCGTGCGCGCCGCCGCGTCGGGGTCCAGCCCGTCGCGCAGCTCTAGCGCCGCTGCAACACGCGGCACGCAGGACGGGCAAAGCTCACACGCTGGCAGCCAATGATCGGGTAGTTGCAACGCTCATGCCACGATCGCTTATGGAAAGCTAAGGACGTGCGAAGCTCAGACGCTGGCAGGTAACGAAAAGTTAATTGCAACACTCATGCGACGATAGTTTATAGAAAGAAAAATGAGTTCATGCACTGTCAGAAACAACAGAACAAGTTCTTGACTTTCCACTTGTGCACTATATCCGGATTGAGGTATTCGTGCAACTACTTGGAAACTGTAAAATAAAAATTACACATGCATGCACACAAACCACATTTTTATTAGCGCCAATCACAAGAAGATTTAATTAGGTTCTGGTTAGAGGAAGACACAAAAGCATACATACTGGTTTTTCTGGAAACAAACTAGAAAAAGTCACTGAACCGTTGAAAACATAAGTGGTAGTAAGGTTATTACATCTCTGCATAATTTTAACAGTATTTTTCATAGTAAAAAGACAAATACAAAGTAATAAAATTGCGAATGTTGGCAACCTTCGTAATTAGGGAGATTATAATATATTCGTAGATTGCCTATGAGTATCGACATTCAATCCAATTACATCTTTATGACAGTATCAGCGCATTTATGTATTGATTCCTTTTCCTTTAGAGGATTTGTCGGTATCTGAGACTTACAAATCTCGTTTCACGAACAGGCAATTTACAGCCACAGAGGTGTGGTTAAGAATAGCAAATGTAGATGTGTAAGTATTCTTTCTCAACTGACAAGTTACGTGATTCAGTTATTCACGCAAATAAATGTTTTTGTTTTGTTTCAAAAAACATGGTAAAACATTGCAGTTATATTGCATTTGAATCGCAATGAGCAGTGATGCGTTTCTTTTCAACTAATGCAACGGCGATGATGTATTCTCCAATGACAGTTCTCTTTTTTTGCTTCTTGTTACGCACGCCAAATCAGCATTTTGGACGGTTAAAACCAGTGATGTAAATAAAACAAACTCCCACAGCACAGCAGGTGTGTGTGAGAATTTACAAGGAAAGCCCATCAATGAAACAAACATTTACATATTATATATATATAATGAAAAAATATATAAAACTACCACAAGAGCAGGGAACATGCAGATAATACTGATACAATTTTGCAAAACAATTAAAATTATTTTTTCCACGTATAAGCATGCTGATTATACGCAAATTTGTGTTAAATTCACTATCATTCAAAACATATATATAATAAACAATAGCAAGTATAGACATTAATAATATTTTTACCAATCACCAACTTAGTTCTGGAAGTTCTGCAAATCATCCCTGTTAATCTAAAAATTGGTTTCGCTTTTATTAATTATTTTTTTACTTCAACCAGTAAAAGCAACACATTGAAATCCGTGTATTGTTCTCAGCGAATCACTCCAGGGCGCTCTTTCTCTGCTGCGAGCGAGAGCAAAAGAAGCGAGGCAGGTGTGCGGCCCCGCCCAAATCGCCGAGCACATGGCCCTGGTGGAACCGAAAACCCGCCCGGTCCACTCGCCAGCGCACGAACTCGTTCCCCTTGAGATGAGTGACACAACCGCGCCGGGGATCGTTGGCGCCCGCCGGTTGCGCACTCACCGGCGGAAATTGGAACGAACCGGCCATTCGCAGCACGCATTTTCAGGACCAATCGCAATTGTTAGTAATGTCATTGATTGAACTGTACATAAACATCGAAATGTTGCCATTCCACAAAAGAAATGAAATACTTTGCTAACGATCACAATTTCACGTCCATGTTATTTTTAAAACGAGAATGTTCTTTCCATATATGTATCCATGTAAAAAAAAAGACTGAGTGTTGTCGTACAGAAAACAAAATGTTGTATCAGATTATTACACATACATTACAAAATAAATAAAGGCTTAATCTCACAATTTTCATTTACTTACTTACTATTTTGCTTCTACACGTCACAAAACATTATTCACAAAAAATATAGATTCTTTCCTAAATAGTTTTCTGTACACAGCAGCATATTATTACTGATATGCATAATTGCTGCGATGCTTCGGGGTTAAATCGTCAGTCTCAAAAAATAACGATGAAGGTAATAATACTAAAACAAAATTTTACTCCTTTTTCATACATTTGCAGACGTAACTTGAGATATAGAAAGGCAGCGTTCAAAAGTTCAAACGACTCATTGAAAGGTAGATAAAACGGAAGTATAACAAAATTATTAGCAGCAGAAGAGAAAGAGAATCAGAAGTCCAATGAGGTAAAATATTTTACAAAACGCTACTTTTAGATAAAAATAAATAAATCTTACTCATACATCACTTAATGGAATACACACCTTTAATGCAACCTAAAGGTTAATTCGCAAACCATGCGTTAGACACACACATGCGTGGTTTGATTCTGGATTCATCTGAAAACAATTTCTCCAACACTAGACGAAAGATGCGTGACAAACATTTAGGCCAATGGGTGTCGTGCGAAGTTAATTGCCTGCTCCGAATGGGCTGGCAAAAGCATGCTCTTCTCTACTATTCAAATACACACTGGGATCCATACATGTTCGAGATGTGACGGTTTTACACGTTCAAGTTTACCACGTCTCTTACAATTTTCACCATCAAAGATTGCACACAACTGTCTCCAGTTTGGTTCAACGTGCATTCAAGACGAAGTCAAACAGGAACCCATCACCCGAAGAAAATCAGAAGCAATTGGATTCTGTTTCTTACATATTTTTCCCGCGGAATTGGATCATTTTTAAGGCCTTGTGTTTAAAAACATCGTTATCTGATGGCTCATGGATATTTCACAGAAATCCAATTTACGGAACATGTAAATGCATCTACTTTATATTCTAGCACACTGAAAACCAGCATGAACTTCGTCGTAACGATGAGGTATACTGGTTCGTATTATAGTTTCAAAACCCCGACATACAGAGTATTTGACATTCTACTCCTGTGTAACTTACATTAAAAAAAACTGACAAATTTCACATGCTCTAAAATTTTGCTTTAATCTCTAAATAAAGAAAACAGTAAGGACAACGTGTGTGTGAAACTCGCTTGCGAGCGCGTGTGTGTGTGAGAGTGTCCCGCGGAAGGGCGTTACCTGTGGCGGCGCGCGGGGGCG